GAGCATAGTTTAGTACTAGTCATAGTGAGGGCATAATTGATCTTGTGAGATGGTACAAAATCTTATTTTTCACACTATTGGAAAAATTAAGTTAATGCATCTTTTTTTAGACTATTATTTAACCTAATTTGCATCCTTATTATATTTGTACAATACAATTCCAATTTCCTATCCAATTCAATTAAATCTATTATCAATTATTGGGATCTTATTTTAATTAATTAATTGTTAAATTAAGTCCCATTTAATTTAATGACTTGTTCCAAGTTTTTACTATAGGTTCTTACTTAATTGACAATAATATTTAAATGTATATCACATTGAATATATATAAAATTAAATATTATAAATAAATATTGACATGTAGCAATGCATCATGATCACCCAATTAATAAGAAAAAATGATAATTCAATTTTAACCTTGTACAACAATAATTATTGTAGAGTAATTTGTCTTTTCATTTATGTCTTTGATTTGAACACAAGACATAAGAGTGATATTCTTGTTAAGTTAAATAATATGTTTCTCAATATCCAGGTAGACATTCAAACACAAATAATTAAGCTTAATATCTCATATTAGTCTTTATCATATGGCTATATATATTTCATGTCTCACTCTAAGTAACCTAAGACATAACCCCCATTATGTAGGAGAGACGAATCCTTTCTACATCATTTGCATCCCACCAGATGATTCATTGTAGGCCCAATTAATTACCATTATGATTATTCTGTTACGGATAATGTTTGATAACATTAAAGTCTATAATTCTTGTATGTAAGAATTGTAGTAACTTCAAGTTAAAGGACTACTATATACTATGGTCATCATGAAAAGTGCTTATAACACTTGTATGATCATTATGAAACCTTCTTATAATTAGTACATCTAGTATAAATATTACTCTTAATACTTATACTCGTGTGCTTTACTTGATATCTCATATTTATGACCCGTGAGATTTAATTATCGGTCAATTTACAAAATAGTGTCAATGTATTATTATTGTCCAAGTTAACAATAATATTTGACTATAAATAATTTAAGAATAATTTTTCTCATTCAAAGAATATCATAATCAAGTGACACATAATATATTTCTCAACGAATAATTTACTCTAAATACGTAACTATACTATAAGGATATAATAACTAAAATGTCTTTTATATAAATAATAAATATTTATATATTAAAGTCATACAAATAAAGGATTGACTACTAAATATAACTCCAACATAAGTGTTGTGTCATGTATATCACATTCACACGTAAATGTACTTGAGACACTACTACAAGTCACATTTTCTACATCGGTTTCGTGAAGCCATCTACATCGGTTCTGAAACTAATGTAGAATAGAGTGACGTAAACAATATATAGATTTCTACATCGATTCTGAGAACCGATGTAGATTAGAACATAAATCTACATCGGTTTTAGGTGAACTGATATAAAATTATATCCTCATCTACATCTGTTCATAGTTGAACCGATGTAGATTTGTATATTTTTGTTAAAAAAATTATTTATTTTTAAGTTTTTTCTTGTATATATCGTGCTTTTCTCTCTTTTGAACGAGCAACAGATTGCCGATTCACAAGTATTCTATTCAAGATTCACACCGCCACCACCATCAGAAAAATAGTATACAAAAATCAAATCCACAACAATTACTGAATGAAACAAGCATAAAAAATAAGTCAACAAGGCTTTCATAAACTAAGGGGTGTGGTCGGGTAAATTTCTCCTCAAACAATAGTAGGAAAATAAATTAAATAAACTAAAATTAATTTGTATAAATTCTCCACAATTAACGTCTCAAATCTTATTTTTAATTTATGTTTAAGTTAATTTTAGCTAATAAAAGAAACCTATTTTAATTTTCTTTCCAATTTTATGAGAAGAGAAATTTATCCAAAAATGGCAAACTAAACTAAAAACTCGAAAAGTAACTAAAATGAAAGCTGAAACAGAGAAAACCCTATTGTTTATGAATTCACACATCACATCAAAGCCTAATTAACCACTCGAAACCAAAATGAAAGTAGAAGATGCATTTTCGCGATCGAAATTGAGAACCTCTTGGCACACTTGGGATCAATTCCACCTATGGAAACTTGTCCAATTTTTTTGCTGAACCCAAATCTCAACCATCTGCCTCGCCACTCGTGAAACTTGCATGAAGTCATTTGATGCTCCAGTGGTGACATTTTCCTGGCCAAAAATAACCTCTTCTGCGACTCTGTTTTGCCATACAGATATGAAATTTGTTAGATAATTTTCAAAGCTCAAAACTCTGCATCTCACATCCCATAAAAATATACAACAGGATACAATAGTAACAGCAATTCATATGCAAATCAGTCAGTAGCAATTGACAAGTGGAGTAGTTGTGATAAAATAGTGACTCGCAAACATCAAAATCCGAAATGAAACAAGGTAATTGTGCATGTTTAAGTGTATTGCATGGTGCACTGACCTTCCACCCAGAGCAACAACCATCTGATTTTCCAAGTAGCTTCTACTGTATAATCCAGACTTGAGCCTCTCTTCGCTTGGAGCAAAAAATGTGAGACCACCAGCTTGGCCACGAGGTATAATTGATATCTTGGCTACAAGATCATATTCAGGCATTAAAGCACCCACTAGAGCATGGCCAGCCTCTGAAAATCAACAAGGAAAAAAAGGTTGAATTGCCAAAGACAAACCAACACTTACCAAAAGTAGATATTTAACATACAAAAATTACACACCACGATAAGCTACTAATTTCTTCTTCTCATCTGAGACTACAACATTTTTCTTCTTGGGACCAACTATGATCCTTTCCAGAGCATCAGATATCTCATCTTTACTTATTTCCTTGAGGTCACGCCTGGCTGCAAGAATAGCTTCCTCGTTCATCAGATTCTGCAAATCAGCCCTTGTGAATCCTGGGGTTCTCCTTGCAATTTTTTCAAAGTCAACATCCTTTACAAGAGATTTTCCTTTAGAATGAACCTAACAGAAAATAATGATCGATTAGTTCAGATATCACAATCAACAAAAAAATGTTGCATACAAACACGGATCAACCAAAAACTCCCAAATCCACCAATCTAATTACAACTGCACAAAACTTACATTCTAAGGAGCTTTTGATGGTCTTTTTCAATCAGAATTGAGATTTCAACTCATAAATTTATGTAAGTAAAATACTAGCTTATCAGGAGGCATAGTTTTCTTCGCTTCCATAATCTCCTTGAACGATGAAGAACCATCGACTGAACTATTGTGCCGGTGTAGCGGCCTCGCCGGACTCTTCTCAAGTTTGCCATTCGGATTTGCGTCATTTTTGCTCCCGCCAGATTCGTTGGCGCCGCCAAACTTGCCCACGCCAATGTATGTCGAGAACAGGTCGTCCTCCGATCCGATCTCCTCCATGCTCGCCGCGAACTGACCCGAATCGAGCGCGTGGGCGCGCACTCCCAGATTTGTGGCCTGGGGCTGGACTCATCCCTCTCCCCACGCCCCATCTCGGAGTGCACGGTGGGCCAGGTCGCCGGTGTCATCCTCCAGATGATAAGAGAGGGGAAGATTGTCGGGCGCGCCGTTCATCGTTCAAGTGCAGCGGTGGCTCACTGGAGCCAGAGTTCTCGGCTAGGGTTTCTAGTCCTCCAGATTTCTTTGTTGAACAAAATGAACAAAAATGTTCTTCGCGGAGAAAGGGCTCCAACCCGAGCCAACATATGCGTTTCAATACTACATCGGTTACTCGGTGAACCGATGTAGATGTATTTATAATTATTCACAAAATTGCCACCCGCATTCAAAATGACATCAGTCCCACAAAAAATGATGTAAAACGCTCAATATTTATATCGGTCTCTACCATAACCGATGTAAATATGCTTTACATTATACTCTTATTTACAAAAATGTCGCTGCATTCGATTTTTACATCGTTTTTACCTCAACCAATGTGGAATTAGCTATGTTGAACAGTCACTTTCTGGTAGTGAGATGATATGCAACACCATGTTGTCGCAATTGGTAACTGCGAATTCAATGAACAAAATAAATATATTGTTGTCACTTTATTGCGATAGAATATAGAAAAACCTTCACACAATGAGCCACAATGATATAAGGAAAAAGATGTGTCTGTATAGTATGTGTCGTTACCGGCTGTACAAAATTTGGAATGGCATCACATGTTCCATTTGACACGATTTTTATGTGGTTTTTTTTTTAAATGACGTGGCACATATGTAGTTGGATTGACTTGTAACATCTCTAATTGACCACCCCAAAAATAAAATAAAAAAGTGTTTTTTTTAAAACAACTTCATTTTAATAAAATAGATTGAAAAAAATAACCTACAATGATAAAAGCCCATTATATATGTTCATTTCTTGACTTGATCCCATAATGTTCATGACTTGTTCATTATATGTGGCCATTTATATACATTAATAGAATACAATAGTATTAATTTCTTGATGTTCTGCAACTGGAACTACGTATTGAAGTTGCTAATGGTGTTTTTTTTTTTTTTTTTTTTGCTGGAGCTTTGTTACGTGTAAAAGAAATATATATTTTATGCATGGACAAAACCGCAAGTGTCAAGTTTAACTAAGAAAAACAAAATGAAAAATTGACGGTTTAAAAAATGTAAATCAAAAGTACATTTTACGGTGTTTAAAATCACTAAAATATTTCTATATCACGCTTAACGGTTCATTAAAACTTGTTAGAAGTCCTTTTGGACAAACGCATACCTGAGATTTTTTCAACCGCCAAAACTGACATTTGTGGTGGTTTTTAGCTGTTAAAACAATATTTTTGACTTCCATGATTACAGTTTTTTAAAAATATATTATGAAATAAAATCATTTCATTTTGTTAAATATATAAGAACCAAAAATAAATAAATTTTTATAAAAATTAAAAATAAAAAACCGTGATCTTCATTCCAAACACAAACATTTTCAAATCTAAAAAAAAAACAAAAAAGAAGAAATTATTTAGATACATACACCAATAGGAGAGAATGCTAAAATCTTACAAAATCCAAGGTAGCACTATTTTTCAAATTATACGCTTACACTCAACTGAAAGTACATGATCATACAACAATGTAAAGGAAAACACACAATACAATCCATACAAATTTTTATTTAGTTGCCTTGCTTTTCGTCCATTATGTCGATCATACTATTTCATAATATATTGCCAAATAGCCAGCATTAGGATCTCCACTATTGAAAGAATCCTAGTACCCAACCTTTGGATCTCCAAACTCAAATAGCATCACTATGAAGAACTTCCTTCACTAATCGATAGAAATCATTATAAGATGTTCCTCCCAAATCAGTGGCTTGCATTGCTTTCTTTTTCCACTCCAAAGACTTTTGCCTCATTTCCTTCCCCTTTTCTCCCTCTATCATTTTTTTCACAAGTGTTGTCACCTCCTCTCTTTTTACATCATCTTTAATATCCATTCCTATGCCCCAAGTAGTGCATATGTACCTACAATTTGTTTGTTGTTCAGCAAAGAAAGGCCAACCAATCATAGGTACACCTCCACATATACCTTCAATTGTAGAATTCCAACCACAATGAGTTAGGAAGACCCCAACTGATGGATGAGCAAGCACTTCTTCTTGGGGGCACCAACTTGTTATGTATCCTCTATCCTTTACCTCATCTAAGAAGTCTTGTGGCAAAGGTGTGGACTCACCCATTACCAAATCTGGCCTCTTTATCCACAAAAAGGGTAGATTGCTATTTGCTAGTCCCCAAGCAAATTCTTTCAGATGATGTTCAGACATCACAGTTATACTTCCATAGTTCACATAAATGACTGATGAAGGTTCCCATTGGTCTAGCCATTGGATACATTCCGAATCATTTTTCCAAAGATTTGACCCTTTCACCGTGAAGCTCTTGTGTTTGTCAGGAAAATGCCTTCCTAACAATTGAAGTGGACCAATGTTGTATATATTTGGGTTCTGGGCCATGAGGGCATCAAGGACTTCACTTTCCAATTCTTGGACAGTGTTAATTATGATTGAAGATGATTTCATACAGGTTTTTGCTTCAAAACCAAAGAAGATAAAACTAGTTTCATCTAGAGTTGTGGTTCTGACAAAACTCGGAAGATCTCTAATTCGAATGTTTTTCATTCCAGTTATCCAATCGAGATTTGTATCCAAAGATCCATCAGCAGTGAACCTTTCGTCTGAAATTTTGAACAAAAATTTTACTGCATTAGACAAGTCAAACTTCTTAATTAATTTTTAAATTTATTTTAATTTGCTATGTAATTTATTTTAAAATAATTTCTATCACTATTTAATTATTGTGACATGACATGTATTTTTTTTTAATTTTTATATATAGATCACTTGTATCTTTGGCTTAAAACATTTATACTTGAATTGAGTAAGACAATAATGGATAGTATAACTTTTTCTTCAAATAACAAAATTACACATGTGTTTTTAGAATATAAGTTTGAACCTAATTTAATTCTATAAAACTAGTTTATATAAGGTGGAGGTTATTCCTCATTTTTATATTTTTCTGTTAGTCTTTTCTTTAATCAATTTAGGACATGAATTTTTCTCAATATACCCTTCACACCCAATATTAGGCTTAATGCATGAATAATAGGTAGATGACCCTTTTTAATGATATAGGATAAGTGAGATTTGGATAATGTGGGTTTAAGTATAACTCAATATTTTACAAAACTAAATTGTAACGTGGTGATTCTTTTTCACTTATATACACTCTAATAAAACTTTATTTCTAGTAGATGTGAGACTTGAGTTTTTTCAAATACATCCCCTCACACTCAATATTATTTAGCTTGATGCATATATAAATGATGGGTAGCCATTTTTAAGAAATTTATGATAACTCTCATACTATATTAAGATGTGAGTTTAAGTCTAATTCAACTCTACCAATCTAGCTTATTAGATGAAAGTTATTTTTTACTTATATAGATTATATTTTAGTCTTATCTCAAGTTGATGTGAAATCTCTAATATATTTTTTATTCATAGAAATCAAACTCATTATCAAAGAGTTATCTCAAGTTGATGTGAAATCTCTAATATATTTTTTATTCATAGAAATCAAACTCATTATCAAAGAGTTCTAATGACTTACTCACACTACTTAATTAACTGAGATAAATCCTCTTGATAATGAAATTGTATATCTAAAACTAAAACTCAACAATATTTATTAAGTTGGTACTACAATTTTTTTTATCTTATATAGTAACTATACACACTATATAGTAATACAATATTTGTTACTAAAAATAATGATAACTATTATCATTTTCACATATATATATATATATATATATATATATACACGACATGGATGACATGTATAAGGATATACGTGTCACATTTGTCACTATTAATCTATTATGATGTAGCACATGATGTGTCATAGAAATATATATTACGTCACCAATAAAAAGTCACGTCAATACCAGATCCAAATGAATTACAAAAACCAGCAAAATTAAAATTTCGAGACTTGAAATTTTTATTCTCACTCAAATAAAAGAAATACCAAATTTGCTTTGTAAAAAATGCAATGTTATTTTAAAATACATATTTTGTTACAATTTAACTTTATATATATATATATAATCATTATTTTTGTTGTATGTAAGGTAAAATGTTTTACCCTATATCATATATTTTTACAACTCAAATTCCACTTCAAAAGTTTAATCTCTGGTTTCAGGAATAAACTAAACTTCAAAACATTAACATCATCAAACGAGCAATGTTGTATCTAATCTTATTTTTTATAACTTAACTTATTCGCTTTTTCCATGGTCTACGTAGTTCAATGTAACAAACTTTGACCTGTTGAAAGTAATTTGTCAATCCTCGAAAGTGAATACTTATTCCTTATCGTCATCTTATTCAATTGCCCATAATCAACACACAAACGGGTCCCACCATCCTTCTTCTTCACTAACAATACCGGGGCACCCCAATGAGAAACAGACAAATTGATAGATATCAAAATAATAATTTTTGATATTTTGAAAACTTAAGCACAAATTTTAAATTAGAGAGAACAAAACAATATTTTTTGTAATTAAAAGGATTAAAAATAAAAAATTTAAATGAAGGACAATAAATTATATACCCAAAATTTAAGAGATTATTAAGCTTAAAAATTAAGTTTGAAAAATAAAGTTTATTTTGACTTGGTATTTTTAAAATTATGTAAATTAATTAAAAAAATTAAGTAGTCTAACATAACTCGACCAAACTAATAAAAAAAAAAATGTTCATATAAAAGTTGGGTGGATTAGATCATCTCATTTTTCATGTTTGGCTTGATGGGCTAGCACACATAACTCGTTTTAACAACTCTATTTTGAAAATTGTTTCGTACATGTAACATCTTGATTTTTAAAATAAAAATAAAATAAATAATTTAAATAATGTTTATATTATGCACTTAATTAATTTATTAATTGAATTTATAATATAAATAAAAGATTTTTTAATAAATAAAATAAAAAGAGAATGGATGGTTGATAAGATAGAAGTCTTTAAGTTGAACTCTTGAGTCCAACTTGGAGCCTTATTAAAAAAAAGAAAAGAGAAGGAAAACGAATTTTGTATACGAGGTTGGTAAGGTGAAGGGACGTGAAAAAAAAAAGACAAGTCACTAGATTTTGATTCGACAACGGCTTTAATTGTCTCATTAGTCCACACATGCTTTATCCAAAACCCTTTTTGTAATCATTAATAAATATTAAATGCAAGAAATACCTTTTCAAATGGAAAATGATACATTATTATGAATATAATAATAAAATAATATTCATGATAGATCAATGAAATGAAAGATGGAACATACATAAGTCAGCTTAAGATAATGTATGACAGATGATGCATATAAGATGAAACATATTTAACATGATATAATCATGATACTTAGTTTGAGTCTGAGATACATTTCAAATTAAGATGAATTCTAATGAATGTAAAGCATTTTTTAGCCAAAACTTTATTAAATATATCAACACATTGATGATCAGTATTAATAAATTTTGTCAAAAATTCCTAGTTATACATAATCTCGAATGAAGTGATATCTTAACTCAATGTGCTTAGTTTTAGAATATTATATGGGATTTTTAAACATATTGATAACATTAATATTATCACAATATATAGGTATATTATGCTTAAGATTGGAATAGACTTCTAATTGGTATTTCACCTATAATAGTTGTGAAGAACTAGCAACAAAGATATATTAGGCTTCTATAGTGGAGAATGTTATGTCGTTCTACTTTTTGCTTGCTCAAGAAATGAAACAATGATCCAAAAAATGACATCATTCACTTGTGATTTTCCTTTCTACTCTGTCCCCAACATACTCTACATCACAATATATATATATATATATATATATATATATATATTATACATGAATCAATGTTTGTGTAAATAATTAAAAACAAATAAATATGATTACATTCATTAAACTCGTCTTTATTTTAGTCCTCGAGAAATTTTGCTTATTAGTATTTTAATTAAAGATTTAAAAATTCACCATATTATTCTACCAAAAAATTTCCACTGCATTATTCTCTAAAAGTCCAAAAAGCTTACATGTCCATTTTATGTTAGTCTAAGTTGGTGAAATAAAAAAAGAAGTATATTCAAAGAATCAATTTAATAATGAACTAAATCCATATAAGAGAGAAGTTTTGTAAGAAAATCATTACAGGAGTAATGATAATATTTTAGTTAATTTTTTTATAATGATTTGTATAACTATAATGACTTACTAGAGAGTACAAAACATTTACTTAATAATGAACAACGATGAGTCACTCTTTATAACTTCTAGTGAAATCTTTCCCAATATGTGTAGGCAGGGATGTAACGATAGCAACATTATTGAGGCATGCACATTTTTAGCTGAGATCACTGGATTTCAAAATCTTTTAATAGGAGTTAGATTTCCATGTGAGATAGCAACATTCTTTATAACACATTTTTCTTTTGATTAAGATAGTCACGATTCATGTGAGAGTTAACCACATGAATTGTTTGAATATATTTAATGTGATTATAGATTATTTATCTCATACCTAATAAAAGTTTACATAAAATCTGCATAAAAGAATATAAAATATAATAAAAATAAAATTTAACTTTAAATCTTAATTAATAAGAAGAAAAAGATTTAATCAATCATGAACTTTTGCGAGTCTTCTTTATAACGGGTCATTCTTTATAACATCATTATTGATTGACACAATTTTTTTTTTGATTTTTACTACTAAATTTAGATATTTATTAAATGAGATACCAACTGACTAAAATTGATAACTTTCAATATATATTTCAACTAATAATCTTTAGTGTTAAAAACACAGCATTAAAAAATTGTTAATAATTTTCCGGATCCAATGGTGTTTAGCTTTGTCCTTTCATCTTTCCATCATTTTCCTTTCTTGTTATGTGAATAAGTTATATTCTCGCATCTAGTGTCAAAGTTTTGTCCCATGAGTATAAAGTATTGATGGGGATGAGTATAGTTAGCATAGTACCAGAAATAAACAAATAAAAAATGAATCACCTTGGAATGGAATAATGGCTCTTTTGACAATCTCATCGAATTGCAAGTACCCCATTAAGCCACAAGCTGAGGCTGTCCAAAATTGTTGCTCAGAAACATTCAAGTCCCTGGCCACTTTTCCGGCAAAGCCCATTAACCCATCGTATATGATGGAGCTAACCACGGGCACATCGTGTGAAGCATTGAGCTTCTTCACGAGCTCTTTGAGAGGCTCGTAGCAATGTTTTCTAGTGGCATCGCACAGCGCAGCAATGCTTTGTGTTGCATCTTTGTCAGATGGAGGCAACCCATCTGGTATGGTCTCGAATCGAAAATGAGGTTGTCCCTCCACAAACTCATGTCCGAGAGACTTAACCAAACGCTTGTGATTGAACTCGGTGTTCACAAATGTTACGTGGAAACCGGTGCAGAGGAGGAGTTTGCTTAGTTGCATGAAAGGGTTTACATGGCCTTGTGCTGGGAATGGCACGCAAACAACATGAGGCTTTTGAGGACGAGAAATTCCCATTCTTAGGTTTTTTTTTTGGAGTAGTTGTGAAGGGTTGAGAATGGCTTAATTGGTTGTGGCATGACTCGCCAAAGCTTCTCCTATTTATAGTGATGCTAAGATGTAAGAATCTATGTTGTAGTAAACATGCATTTTACTATGAGGGCCCCCACGAAGAAATATTAACTTATAAAAGTTAGGGAGTTGCTATGGTACCTATGAAAATTGAAAGGTTTTGGTACATCAAATTATGTGAATAAATAAATTTTAAAAAATAAATTTAAAATAAGATAAATTTTAGATTAAAAATTTGTATAAGATGAATCAATCAAAAATACTAATTCAAAAAAAAATCAAAAGGTCAATTTTTATAACAAATTTTGTTTATATGTGACAAAACTAAAAAATAAAAAATAAAAAATTATAATAATATTATAAAAACATTATAAAAAATAAATAAATAATACAATTGAAAAATTAATTTATACTATAAATTCAAAAAAAATTATCATCAAAGAAAAACTAAAACATATTAACAAAATATTAATATTAAACTTTTTAATTATAATAGATGTTACATTAAGATATAAATTAAAAAATATAAAAATAATATAAAGATATAAAAAAATTTATACAGATAAATTATTAAAAATATTAAGTTAAAATAAAAATAAAGCAAGTAAGTACAATAAAAAAAACTAAAAAAAAATAACTGTTTCGGTACCCCACAATTATAGTGAGTACCGTAGAATTTCTCTAAAAGGTTAAACATATTTTTACTGCATTTGTAGTATATGCACCTTGGAAATAAAAAATAATAATAAATGTGATGAAAATGGAAGTAATTAAAGAGAAGAGTAAAATGAATATAAATTTTGAGCATTGAAAAGCTAATTTATTATTTAATATATTTTAAAATGGTTTAAATATGTTTTTAGTTTGTGAAAAATAATAAATTCTAATTTTGGTCTCCATATAAAAAAAATTATTTTTGCATCTCTTTAAAATTTGGAATCATTATTTTTTGTCATTGTAAAATGAACAAGATTTGATTTTAATCTTTACAAAATATTTGTCTTTGATTTTCATCCTTGTAAAATCTAAATTCATTATTTTATGTCAATGATAATCCTTTTAAATAAATAAATAATATTTATTTTAAGAATTTATAAAAAAAAATTAATGATTTAAAAGTTGGATGTTGGTTATACTCCCTTTAAGGACCAGTTAGCCCATCATCATAATGTGTTGAGTTTAGATTTAAAGGTATCACGCGTTTACATGATGCGTAAAATAATTGTGGGAGTTGTCTGTAATAGTCATTTAACCATTTATTTAATCCTTAAAAGAATAGTTGGTTGTTGATCTTAGAAAGTCCTGTTTATAAAAGAATACTTGTTTTGAATTTAGAGAGGTTTGATTGTAACAGAATACTTGATTGTTGAGTCTAAGGCTTGTATATAAAAGTATACTTGTTTTGATCAGAGAGACTTAACTATAAAAGAATATTTGATTGTTAAGTTTGGAGAGGCTTGTTAAAAAAATATTTGGATAGTTGTTTGAAGAGGGCAAGTCAAAGAATACTTTAGATTGAGCAAAAAGTGGTTTGTTAAAAGATTACTTGTATCTTTGTTTAAAGACAGTGAAAAAAGTCTTGTAATTGAAGCAAACCAGTATAAAAATACTCAGTATTCCATCTGATTGCTTTAATTGCTTCATCTGACTAGCATTATTACTTCATTGCAAAAAATGTGTGAATTTTTTATATACAATATTCAATCTCTCCTAATATTTATCTTTTCTCCACACTACGTTTATAATTTTAGAAGACAACTCAAAATTATTGCTTAATTATGTTGGTTTAAATTCAAGATATCCATAAACTACAAGTTAAAGACTAATCATCAAGATATAGAAATATATTTAAGTGGTTGACCCCCTTAAAAAAAATGTTTTACATAGATATATATGAACCTAATATGGAAATCCTAATCGTATTTAAAAAGTAAAAGAGATATACTTTAAATTATATAAAAAGAATTAAAGGGTTTTTCAGTTTATTAATATTCATTTATTATAATTTAAAATAACATGAAATATAATCTCAATAATTTCAAATAAAAAAAATTCAAAGTTTTGTATTGTTAACAAAAATTCAAAGTTTTGTAATGTTGAGAAACTTTTTTTTTATAATTACTTTTATATACTTTAAATTTAAAAATAAATCTTTTCATTTTTACATTAAAAATAAATAAATAAATATAGCACTAACGAGGATAAATTTACTTCCTTTTTTGTATATATAAGAAAATTTATTAATTAATCATGATTATAATTTAAAACAAAATTAAATAAACATGTCACATGGAAATAAAGTGAGAGAACAATTTTGCTACTCTTAATAATTCATACATCCATTATTATATATTAAAGACAAATGATGATCTTACATGAGAGTGAGAGTAGTTTTAAGAGTTTTTCCTTTAACAAGACTCTTTTAGATGTTTTTTTTTTTATAAAAGGATTTTGATTTAGAGGTTCTTGTAATTTCTTATCTATTCAATTTTTATTTATGATAATTATTTGAAAATTAAATTTTAATATTTTTAAATAAATTGAATAAGTCAACATAATTTTTTTACCATGATATAAATTATTTATCATAAATTTAAAATATAATTTATTCATTTAAAATATTTGTTTATAATATTTTAAATATTATTTATTTATTTGTATATATAATTTATTACAAATTTTAATTATATTTAATAAACATCTAACTAGTATGATTAATGACTGTAATTGTAAGACTCAAATCCTTCTACTCTTTCTTCCTCTTCCCATTTTCTTCTTTTCTTCCTTCACTCACTTACCTTCACTCGTTGGGCTTGAAAACCATTTCACTCTTGATGTTCCTTTGTTGCTAAACTCATCCTCTCATTTTGATTCACCAAGGTATTGAGCAATAGGGGAAGTTGAGGACTTTGAGCCCCAGAGTCGCACGGATTCTCCTTCTCCATTCTTCTCCTCCTTTCTTCTCTTCTTATTCCTCGTAGAGTTTGGGATTAAGGTAAAGGAAGCTAGAATCTTGAGTTGTTGTTTGAATTGAAGCATAATATTGACTGAATTCTTGGAAAATTTGATTTTCGGGGGTGGATTAAAGGTTGGTTGCATGTTGAAAGTTAACACCTTGTGGTTGTTCTTGAATGAGCTGGGTAAAAATTGGGTGATAATGAATCTTGATGCATGCATGTTGTGATTCTTGATGTTTTTGGGTTGCATGTGGTTGGTAGTGTTGCATTTGAGTTGTAGCATGGATTAGGGCTCCTTGGATTGCAGGTTCATGGAGGATTTGAGTGAAAACGAAGGTGAAATCTATGGAGTTTTATAAGTTCAGAAATCCATAACTATAACCATGGATCCACAGCTATAGTCGTGGAATAAAAATGAACTTGTAGAAACCCACAGCTATAGCCGTGGATTCAGAGTCATAGTCGTGGGAGGGAAAAACGTGATGGTAGAGACTTGTAGCCATGGCTGGGGTTTTGCAACCATGGCTGTGGGGGAAAATGGAGTGGCAGAGACTTGCAACCATGGTTGTGGAATTGCAGCCATAGCTGTGGAAAAAATTGGAGTGGCAAAAACTTGCAGACATGGCCGTAGATTTGCAGCCATGGCTGTGTAAAGAAAACTGAGCTGGCAGAAATCCAGAGCTAAAGTTCTGATTTGAGCGCTGCAGTGGTGAGTATAGATGACCGAATTTGGTCTCTAGGTCTTCATAAACGTTGTAGCCTTGGATGTTATCTTTCCAATGGCACTAGAATCACCCAAAAAGGAGCTCTATAACTCCATTTATGACCATTTTAGTGAGAAAAGGTCAAGCTGTCAGCATTTAGGTAAATGGGTGCGGTTTTTACAATTTTGGACAAGGTATATGGTGGAATTAGGACTTGGTGTCTTCGTGAGAGTTGTAGAAAATCTTCGTATATTTCATATGAGATAAAGATGAGAATTATTGGAGTAGTATAACTCCCTATGGGTTGTTTTAGGTGAAGGTTGTTAGTGTAGAAATATGTGATTTTGATAAATTGCATGTGGTACAGGTTGTATGATTGGTGAAATTGGTGAACATGAATAGAATGCTTGTGTCTATTGCATGTTTTGCATTATAGGATGATGACAATGAACATTGATATGTTATCTTTGTGTACTTGAAATGATAATAAGCATTGGAATGCTGTCCTTGTGTATTTGAAATGGTGAGAGCATTAGCATGTTGTTTTTGGTTGATATCTTAAGTATTGATATGCTATCATTGTATAAATTGTTAAGCATTGGTATGATGTTATTAGTTGAGATGTTAAGCATTGCACTACAAGAAAATGAAGATTTTGCGACAGCTATATGACCTACATTGCGACGGTTAGAACTGCCGCAAAGACAAGGGAATTTTGCGACGGTTATCAAAACCGTTGCACAAACCGTCACAAAATTGGAATTGCGACCCCTGAAGCACCCGACGCACTAATTGCCTCTATATTAACATTGCGATCCTTTCATCAACTGTTGCACCAACTGCCTCTAAATTAATATTATGACCCTTTTTTTACCCGTCAGAAATTATAATTTTTTTTTAATTTTAATAAATTTATTAATGTAACAATTCTCATATTTGGCCTCTCAAGGGTTCTATTTCACGATATTTCACTTTTTAGTGTATTTTATCCTTACTTGTGCAATTTCTGAGAAACTTCCCAAAAGGTCACTCATCCCTATACTACTCCAGGTCAAGCACGCTTATTGTGAAATTCTGATGAGTAAGCTACCAAAATGTATATGTATGTTGTCAGTATAACTTGTACAATTTAATTCATTTAATTCATCCTCAAATATACAATCTCATATTTGTTCTATAATAATAATATATAATAATTTTATATTACAAATAATAATAATAATATATTTAGTTAATATTTATTTATATGTACTTACTTTTATAATTAACATCTACTTATTTCTATTTAAAATTATAATTTAAATTATTTAATTTTATAATTTATAATGAT